GTGCTCTTTCCCCCACACCCTGCCCTGAGCAGCCTGAGGTCTGCAAAGTCTGGGCAAGGCAGGCAGGCTCCAAGCTGTCCATGGGAGACACTCCTGGGAACCGGGCTTCCTGCCACTTGGCTTCTAATGCCCCATTTTCCAAAACACCCCGAGGTCCTGAGAGTCCTGAGTTAGGGACAGCCGCTGGAAAGCCAGGCCTGGTTTAAACCCCACTTCTGGCAAGGTGCCTATCAGAGCCTCAGTTTCCCAATCTGTAAAATGGGGTTAACCACAGGCAGCTTCTCCCTCATTTGGTTGCCAGGGTGATTCATGTCAAGCCTCAAGTCCATGTCCAGTGAGTTATTACTGCAGCTGCCTCATCAGGCCTGAGTTCTCACCTGACCCCCACTGCACTTTTCAGCTCCTCTCTCAGCCTTCGGTGCCAGCCTTTCTGCCCTGGGGCGAGCTGTGTACCCTGGGTGGGGCGTGGAGTAGGAGGGGACTGGGAGCCAGAGGCCCTGGTGGCATCCCTGCAGCCCTGCTGAAGCTGGGCCTCCCCCACACCCTTCCAGGCCCGAGCTCCATCATGCAAGTGGCCCTGAGCCTGCTCGTCCTCCTGGCAGGTGAGTGTTGCCCCTGAAATGCCCTGAACCCCTCAGCTGTGTGGCAGACAAGCCTCATGGTGTCCCCTGCAGGGTGGTGACTGTCAGGATAGCATCTTCTTGAGGGAAGAATGTGGCTCTGGTGATTTCAAGAGAACACAGAGACAGGGCCTCTCACAGCAGCAGCTCCGCTGGCTAGAAAAGTCTCGCAGTGACGCCTCCTTGGTGACTTTGAGGAAAAGGCTCAGCCTTGCGCTGTCTTTCACACCCCCTAACACTTTAATACGCGGGGCAACTGGGAGCTTGGAGGCTACGTAACAAGTTACCAGCTGTGCCTCCGTTTCCCTATCTGTAAAATGAGGACTCTAATAGCACTTACGTGTACAATCCTTGCGAGGGCGAAAAGAGTTGGTATTGGAAAAGCATTTAAAACGGTGCCTGTACAGAGTAAGCGCTATGTGTGTGTTATCTCCTCTTAACAAAGAAAGCGCAGAGCTTAGGCCCAGAGCTCAGGCAGCCCACTGATTCTGGCCGGAATTTAATCTTAGTCTTTTGCTTTCATTGTATTTGTTTTATCTGTTACACCGGGCAAGACTGGTATTCCCTTTAGGACAGTGATAGGAAGATGTGTTTTTAAACAAAGTGTATTAAGTTTATAACTAGTAAGTTGCTTTAAAGGGGAGTGGTGAGCAGACATCGGAACAGGTGGGGTGGGATGTGGCAGAAAAGGGAGATGAGCTGAGAATGACCGGAGACTGGTACCATCTGTCGTGCAGATGTTAGGATGTGGATTAGCCAGGAGCCTGGAAACATCTAGCTAAAGGGTGGTCGAAAGCCACCCAGATTAAAACCTATTTCAGGAGGCAAAATGCTGGCGTGGCTCTCAGGTGTGGGGCTGAGGGGAGGGCCCACATCTCCGAGGTGGGTCGTGCTAGTTTGGGGCTGGACCCCTGCACCCTCGGGAGGCAGGGGACCGTCCATCAGGGACCTTATCCCGGAGGCCCCCTGGCCCTGCCTGCCAGCTTCCCTGAGGCCAGCGCCACCATTTTCTCTCCTTCCCCGCCTTTCCTGCCAGGCCTGCCTGCCCTGGACGCCAACGACCCAGAAGGTGAGTCACTCAGTACTACCAGTCCCACCCCAGATTCTCCCCCGGGCTATGGTCCTGGACTCATGTTCTTTTTTCTTTCCTTTCAGATAAAAACAGTCCTTTTTATTATGGTAAGAGTTGGTGCCCCTCCCTTCCCTTCCCTCCTCCTACCCCCACCCCTTATACTATTTTGTGCCACGGGTCCCATGGGGTTGGGTGAGGGTCTGATGTGGGTGAAACTCGGACAAGGATAGGATTGGGCTGGGACACTGACCAGTAGACACAGTGGATTGAGGGAACCAGACGTGCCAGCCTGGTCCTCGGGAAGACGCATGACTCTCCAGCAAGGACAGTTTATAAGAAGCAAGGACAGGCCATAAGAAGACACTGTTATGCTTCAAATCAAGCCTGTGGGAGAAGGGTTGCCTTGAGAAAACTTCCTGGAGGAGCTGAGCTATCCGATCCAAATCCCCCTGTGGCCTCCAGATTCCACACAGTCCGCTCGTGTCACCCCTCCGTTCTCACTGCCCCGCCACTGCTTCTGCTCAGGCCACAGTGGCTTCTCTGCTGTTGCTCAGACTCAGACACTCCCCACCTCCGGACCTTTGTGCCCTCTGATCCCTCTGCCTGGAACACTGTCTTCCACAAGCCTCATGGCTCCCTCCCCACCTCCCCATATCTCTGCTCAAGTGGAGCCCCTCAGGGAGGCCTTCCCTGACCACTCTTCCTAAAAGAGCTGCCCTCTGCTTTCTGTCCCCTGGCTCTGCTTATTTGTCTTCAGACCACTTCTTTCCACCTGACCCTAATTAAATTTCTTGTCCCTTGTTTGTGTCTTAACTAAATGTGAGCAAAAGAGGGTTGGGGTTTGTTTTCCGCACTGCTGTATCCCCAGCGCCCAGCACATCATAGGTGCCCAATTAATCTTTGTTAAGCGGATGGGGGCTTGCATGAGGAGACACCGGCTGACACTGAGGGCCCCCTCTGGGTTTCTCCTAGACTGGCACAGCCTTCGAGTCGGAGGGCTCATCTGTGCAGGGGTTCTGTGCGCCATTGGCATCATCGTCGTCATGAGTGAGTGGAGGAGCTGGCAGGGGAGTGGGGCAGGGCAGGGCAGGGCTCTGGGTCCCCCCTCCTGACCATTCCCTTCTCCCCAACAGGTGGAAAATGCAAATGCAAGTTCAGCCAGAAGCCCAGGTGAGATGGGTTCCGGGGGCGTGCCTACCTCATGCTGGACATACACCTTTCAGGAGTGAAAGAGCTAAATCTCGCAGAAAGTGGCCAGGTCTCCAGGCTCTGCCCTCAAGAATTCCTGCCACTAACACTTTCTAGGTTTATTCTTGAACTGAAAATCCTCAGCGGGCCCCAAATCTTCAAATGCTTTGGACCCTGGAGTGGTACAACTCTACAATGCAAAAATAGCCAGGAAGCTAGGTTAGGGAAAGCTGAGAATGTTGTAGTCTTGAGAGAGGACAAACAGGCAGATACAGATCTCACCACTTTTCTCTTCCCAGCCACCGAACAGGGGACAGCCCACCTCTTGTCACTCCAGGTAAGACAGGGATAGATGGGGCTGAGGGGTACACAGGATGTGAGGGGTGTGTGTGTGTGTGTGTGTGTGTGTGTGTGTATGCACATGCCCTGGGGAGAAAAAACTCCATCCATTCTCACAAGCTGACCCCATCACCTCTCCCAGGCTCTTCCCATAACTGTTGAGGATGGATCAACGACAGAACACAGAGGGCCTCTCTCTTCCCCCGAGTCCTGGTTCTGCACAGGAACCTAACTCCAGGATGGAATTCTGCCTCCTCTCCTCAGACCGCCTTGCCAGACCCCATCTCACTTCTCACTGGAGGGGTCTCTTTGTTCAATTTTTTTATCTAATATGATCTTACCTCCTCCCCATGCAGTCTTGAGACTCTGTATGTGTGCTTTGGAGTAGGATTTGCGGGGCCAGGAGAAGGTAGACATGCACTGGAAGCTGCCACAGAAGCTGGCAGCTGAATCTCTTAGTTGGGAAAAGCCCAAAGGCCTATTCCCTCATGACCTGGTGAATGGCATGGGGTCTGTCCTCTGCCTCTGTGGCCACAGGAGCCACATGTGCAATTTAAATTTTCTAGTATTCCTAAGAGGGACATCTTTGAGAGTGAAAGGGAGTAGTAGCCACATGAAATGCTAGGACACTCAGGTGGACACGGATCATCCTGCCATGACATGAGTACCCAGATAGCTTATCATTATGATAGTAAGACCCTAAGACCCTTCCACTCACTGCTGAGACCCCACTTTATTGCAGAAGACCCTTCCTAATACTCAAATGTTTCTGTGAGACCTTTAAATAATTCCCCATAACAACCCTGATAATATAAAGGCCATATGGTGTGAGAACTTCCAATGAGCCTCAAACTCCCTTGAGACTCCCCAAACCCAATAACACCTCCAAATGTCCCCAAGAGTCACCCCTAACATGCTTAAAAACCTTCAAAACACCCAAAAAGAGACTCCCAATAAACCTGTGACCTGTTCCTAATAATGTCCTTACATTCTTTCAGCATACCATGAGCCCCCCACAATCATGAACCCTCACTCCTTAGACAACTCCGAAAGCTTACCAGGATAAACTAAAACGCTCCCCTGGGACCTCTCCCTGCAAATCACTGCACCTGGGGCACTGTCCCCCCCACGTCACTCTGGGGACACCCTCTCCTAATGATCCCACAACAGGTGGGGCGAGGGCACAGCACATTTATTGAGCTCACACACTTGCCTTCACGCCTGTCACTCGCCAGAAAAGGGGTATCGCGGGCTCCCCGCAAAAACTCGCTTCCCCCCCATTCCCCTTGCACCAGCAAAGACACGCCGGGCTTCCGCCCTGCCAGCAGGCATGCGCACAAGCAACAGGAAGTTAGCAAGCCCGGCAGGAAAACCTGCCCAGCGACTGATGACGTCATGGCGGCATGAACTAAAAGCGATTGGCCAGATTGAGTTTAGAGGGGGGAGGAAAGCTGTCTCCTGGGTACTGGCACAGGGAGCAGGAGGAGCAGGGGTGGGCTGGGGGACTGGGGTGCTTCCAGACCTCACGGAGCTCTGCACATTACCCCCACCATGGCTTCTGGATTCTGGTTCCGTGCCCCAGCCTGAGCTCCCAGCATTTGCCCCCGGCCAAGATGTTGCTTAAGACTGGAAGGGCAGCTCTTGCCTTGAACTTGGCCTGTGGCCAGTATCTCACAGGACCAGCCATAACCCTAGGTCAGTCCAGGGGGTGTCCAGAAGCCTAAGACTCCCCGTGCCAGCCCCTCACCAGCCATGTCCAGGGTCCTGTCCAGTGTCAGGCGCTGAGGTCTAACTCGTGAAGCTGGTAGATCTGCGTGGGGCCCTTGAAGCAGGCGGCGAAGAGGAAGCGTCTGCCAGCCATGGAGATGTGGGCAAAGGCCCGGGGGGCCACCAAGGCTGGGGGCCCCAGCTCCTGCAACGGTTCCAGGAGCCCCTTGTCAGGCTCAAGGCGGAAGACCTGGCTGAAGGCGAAGTCGCTGCCCAGGATAGCCAGCTGGTCCCTGGCTATGAGCAGCGGCTGGAAGACGTGGGCACCACGTGAGGGAAGTTGCTGCAGCAGGCGAAACATGGAGCCATCCCAGCGCATGACCTGTGAAGTGTGGCGGCTAGTTAGGATCTGGGATGCAGGAGGGCCTCTAGGCCTAGGAGGACTTGGAGCACCTTGTAAACAGAGGCCTGTAGGTCCCCAAACTCCCGTAGCTTTCTTCACAAATGTTACCACCCAGCTGCCTAGGCCACATTCTTGGCCCTTCTCTCTCCCACACCCCCCACATAGAATTCATCAGCAATGGAATCTGTCAGTTTTACCTACGTGGTATATATTGTTCCACTCTCCCCTGGCCACACTCCAACCCAGCTACAGTCACTGGTTACCCTGCTCCTGTCCCTGTGCCCACAGTCTGCTCCCCACAGAGATGCTCTATGAACATCTGAGTCAGATCAGTGACTTCTAGGCTCAGACTCTCCCCCTGGCTACCCCCTAAAAAGATTGCCGGCGGGTGTGGGCATCAGCCTTGGGGATGCACAGTGTGATGTGGTTTAATATAAGTCCTGGAGTGAGTCAGAGTTACAGAGCCAGAGTTTGGGGTGAGAATCAGAAGCTCGGGGCCAGTGTCTGTTGGGGAATGGGGAGTAGTTTAGGGTTAGCAATCCTTGAGGGGTCACAGTCTTGAAGTCAGTGTTGGGTCGGGGCCAGAGTTTAGGGATCGGCACATTAGGTGGGGTTGGAGTTTGAAGATCTTGGGTCAGCGTTTAGAGGCCAGCGTGCACAGTGGGGGTCAATGCTGAAAGACCAGCACTGAGAGGGCAGCCCTGAGCAGGAGTCAGCTGCAGGTCAGGGCTCGCTTGTGGCCCCTGCTGCCACCCGCACCTGGGTGGGCCCAGGCTTACCATGGAGTCCCCGATGTAGCGCGTCAGGCACAGGAACACATCCCCGCTGGCCTGGAAGTGGCGTGTGGCGTAGACGTCCTCGGCCTCGGGGATGTCCGTGCGCCTCTCGAAGCGGCCCCCAAACCAGTGGAAGAGCACGGGCCGCTGTGAGGCCGAGGCCAGCAGCAGGTGAGGCCGGCCATCCAGCTCAAAGGCCTCGGCATCCGTGTCCCGGTGCCAGGCGTGGAGGCTCTGGCGCGGGTAGAAGCCGGGCCCGTCGCGGCACAGCAGTGTGGTGCTGCCCGCCTTGGAGGCGTCGGCCACCACGAAGCAGGGCTGCCCATCTAGCCACAGGAGCTCGGCGTCATTGGGCCGCAGAAGCCGCTTGGGGGCCAGGGCCTGGGTGGGAGCCAGGCGCAGGCCTGGCCTGGGCCGGGCCCACAGCTGCGAGCCCCCCCACAGGCGGGCGGCCAGCACGAAGAGGCGCAGGCCCAGCACCAGCGGCTTGCAGGACACCACGGAGGGCGCTGGGGGGTCGGAGCGAGAGGCAGGTCAGGCCGCTGGGCAGAGCACCCCCACCCCCGGCAGGCAGGACGGCGGGAGGGGAGCTCACCCGACAGCTCTTCCTCAAACCGAAAGCGCTGCAGGCCATAGTCCCAGGAGAGGATCAGGCAGCGGCCAGCAAAGGGCTGTGCCAGGACGACGTGGGGTTCCCCCTGGTAGGAGAAAGGCTCCACGCCCAGCGCCGACTCCCCAACCGTCTGGAACCGGGACAGCTCTGGGGGCGGCAGGAGAGAGTCAGGCAGGCTCGGGAGACCCCAGGGCCTCAACCCTGAGCCTCGGTTTGCGCATCTCTGAAATGAGGACCATCATGGTGTTCATCTATTAGGAACATAGAATGGAAGGAATCTTTTTTATCTATAGCTGTATTCATTCAAAACAGCACGGTAATACTTTACTTTCTAAGCGTCATGGCATCATCAAGTAATTGCTTAGAAGCAGCATGTTTATTAATTCATTTAACGTCACAGAATCCCTACGAGGTATTTTCCATTATTATACCCACTTTACAGATGAGGAAACTAAGGCTAAGAGACACAGGCAGCCAGTTGCCCAGCAAAATCCATCTTTCCCATCTTCCATGAAATAGGATGGGAGCTGGGCACAAAGCTGTGCAGCTAGAAGTCACATTATCCCAGCACTCCCCCAGCAGCCCCCCTCCGAAGTTAGGTGTGGCCACATCCAGACAAGTTCCCAGTGGAACAAGAGCAGAGTGGTGGCTGTAATGCCTCAAGTGTATGAAGGTGGCTCGCCCAAGAACTGGCCGATGGACGTACTACAAGTTGTTGTCAACCATGAAAACCAGGACCACACCCAGGGGCTGCCCCACATGCTTGGAACGCACATCTCAGACCCTCTGTCTTCTTCAGCTCATGGAACCTCTTTGTTACAACAACTTCCCTTTTATGGTAACAATGTTCCCAGGTCACCCAGCATAGTGCTGGTGGAGCCGAGCAGTTCAGTCCAGGTCATACTCCTTCACTCTATATGCCGGGCCCTGTTTCTAGGTGCCAGGGTTGAAGCAATGACCCAAACTACCAAGGATGCCCACCCAAAGGGGGATCTTTTAAAATGTTCATCAAATTATCACCCCCTGCTCAAAGCCCACCATGGCTTCCCGCAGCCCTCAGGGTGAAATCCACTCTCCACCCTGTTGCTCTCAGTGTCCTGTGCAGTGAGGCCCCTGCACCTTCGACCTCAGCTGTGCCCTTCCTTTCATTCACTTTCCCAAGCCAGACCTGCCTTCCTTTGATCCCCAAGCAGGACAAGCTCTCTGCTGCCTCAGGGCCGTTGTACATGCAGCCCCCTCTCTCTGCAATGCCCTTCCCTCTGTACCTCACTTAGCTACATCCAGATCTAATGCCATTTCTTCAGAGAACCCTTCTCAGACGCCCCCATGTAAGGTAGGACCCCTCTTTAATTTTCCTCATCAGCCCTGCGTTCATCACAACATGTAGCATACATTGATTTGTGCAATGTTTCATTTAATGCCTGTCTCCGCACCCTTCCCCCAGGACTGTGAGCCCAGGGCCCAGGGCTATCTTGGTCACCGCATTGCACCCATTGCCTCTCACAGGGCTGGGCACAGAGTGTACCTCGGTGAATGTTTGCTAAATAACTTAATGAAGAATGATCCTTAAGTCAAATTCTGTTGTTCTATGAGTCCCATAGACCAAAACTATATCACAGATGATGATGATGATAGCTATTATCATGTTAATAGCCTTCAGATCTGAACTGAAACACCCACGCCTTCAGGTGAGTCTGGCCCTCGCCCTGGCTCTGGGCTCCCACAGCCCGCAGGCTCCCCACCTCCCGGCCCCGATCATCCCAGCCTGTCGTTTTCTGCTTTCCTCTGGACTGTGGGCTCTGCGAGGGCAAGGCCCAGGGCTGTCTTCATCACTGCCGCTCTCTGCAGTGCCCAGTACCCATAATGGTACCAAAATTTATGGAAAAGCAAAATGAGCTTAGGAAGCACTTTAGAAATGGTCATTTTTATATTAATAACGGTAACAAGAAGAATGAACATTTAGCGCAGCCGGGCGTGGCTCAGCGGTTGAGCATTCACCTAGGATCCAGGAGATCGCAGTTCGATTCCCGGTCAGGGCACATGCCCGGGTTGCGGGCTCCATCCCCAGCGGGGGGCGTGCAGGAGGCAGCCAGTCAATGACTCTCTCATCATTGATGTTTCTCGCTCTCTTTCCCTCTCCCTTCCTCTCTCTGAAATCAATACATATATATATATATATATTTTTTAAAAAGAATGAACATTTATAAGGCCTCCCATTCCAGGCTCTGTGCCAAGTGCTATACAGAGGTGGATGCATGGCTGAATTCTCATAGCAGTCCCATGTCATTGTTTATTACCTCCATTTTACAGATGAGGAAACTGAGGCTCAGGGAGGTGATGCTTCTCGCTCAGTCTCACAGCCAGGAAATGGCAGGAAGCAGGAAGTGAGGTGAACCCCTAAGCTCTGGCCGCTGTCCCCCTGATCTCCCGCCTTCTTCTGGGAACCCCTGCTGTCCCTCCCACCCCACAGGGAAAGC